ACTGATATACCTCCTTCAAAATCAAACTCCTAACTTCAAAACTTTCATTACAAGATGAACTTGATTGCTTCTGTGTATGTTGATCTGGGATATATATAAGGCTCCAACAAAACAAACAGAGTTGATATTAAAATATTATTAATAGTCTCACTGGTGTTGATCTTGAAACTAATGAGTCACTATTTAATTAGTTTTTATCAGGAAATATCTGTTACTGCTGATAAAGCTGCTTATTGTGTTAATAAAGACTCCCTGGAAAAACTATGCAGTTTGCAGCGCAGCATAAATCAAATCTTTTTTCCATTTGAAACTGTCAAGAGATCTTTAACAAGCATAGCCTCTAATACTAAACTGGGCCTCAGATTACTGTTAATTGCCAATGGCTGGGTGACATAAGCACATCAGCCCTTCTGACCTGAAACTCTGAATTAATCCATACCTTTCATGCAAATCGTGCATTATTGATGACTTTTGACTTAAGTTCCAAAAGTGGCATACATGGCAATGAAAACAATCCTTACAAAAATAAGGCAATTGCGACAAAGTAAATCAAATATTGGAGAGACTGAGTTGTATATCTCAAGTGTGATTAGATGAAATGAATTGAAAGTCAACACTTTACAGACTTTCAGATGAAGTGGCCATCTGCATCAGAATTTAACTCACTCACTTGTCACCTTGCAGACGCCTTGATCCTGAAGTATATAAGCTATAGCCTATAGCTTTCAAATTTATCAGGGGCTTGGATTAAGGTTAAGGGTCTGAATGTGTTTAACATGTACTGGTAATCCATTTTATATTATGATCTATGATATTACATACTCTATCTCTAGTGTATAGAATATAACTTTATTAAACCAATATAATAGAGAACACTACTGCTACTGCATCCCATTGAATATCATCAAATAATACAACAAGTGGTTCATTGTGTCAACACAGCCGAGTTTTTTCTTTCAGCTGTAGCAAATGAATGAGCATTATGAAAAAATCAATTTGTACAAGTCAAGACTGATAGTGAAAAATTCATTTAGTCTTCTAGACGAGACATTGACCGATGGCTGACAAGGTTTATGTCATCATCTTTTGATAGTATTTCTTGGCATTACTGAAAGACAAGACTGCTTTTGAGGTGACCAGGACGATATTAGGTCCAAGTTTACTCTGTACATTAGCTGATAGCTGTCAGAAAGCTATTTGTAACTACCGTAATAACATTCCACTGCATTTCATTTTCTTTAGTACCTGTATGTATGATTGTGTTAATATATTCCAATATATTCATATAAGATATTAAGGGTATTGATAGAGATAAGGGCTGAGTGGGATTTCCTGTGATCGTAGATGTTTGGCCTTGGGATATGCATCATATGCATATTAATCGAACTCCTTTTTAATATCTTTTCCAATAGGAATATACTGTTTTTTTTTTCTAAGAATGAGCATAAATACCATAATTGCATAAATCTTTTCAAAAAATAACCAACTGTGAAAAAAAGAATTTAAAATTTTTCTAATCAACATCTTCAGCTTCAAGAATATAATTTAATAACAGGAAACAATTTAATTTTCACAATAGATCCTATTCATCTATTGCTATAATGGCTTATTATCTCTTGAAACAGGAAAGACAAAAAATGAAATCTAAACAACTGTAATGCATAAAAATGTATGAATCAAACAAAAAAATCTTACCATTAAAAAAAGCTACAATTTTCTCTGGATGCTGAACTGCAGAAATCACTTGAACTGTCAATGTCAACAATATAATCCCAAGTCCAAGTGATTGAAACTGCTTGTTATTTGTTGACATCGCCATTTTTTAGCACAATGTTGCACTTTGTAAATACCTTTTACAGTTCAGATTTCCCGTTAAATACTAAGTCAACATAAACAATAGATATTTTGGTTAAAGTTCGTCCACATTTCGTGAAATAAATAAAGTCAATCCGTTCACGAAATTGACAACTCCATCACCGTATCGATAGTTGCCTATCGTTATCCACCAAGACGGGGTAATCCCTCAATACAACATGGACGATTCCATTCGTCACTTCAGGGGAGTCAGATTCGTTCTTTGATGATTTTTGTTTTCAGTTTTGCAATTTTGTCATAAAGATTTGCAAATATTTCTAATTTTTGACTTAAAGGTTTCAATCATAAAAATCATCGCAAAAAAAACCCCATAAAATGGAAGGAAAATTGAATTCGGCTAATTTTTTTTTAGACTGAGTAACCCTAATTGAAGGGAGAGAACCCTGATTGGAATACCGACACAGCACGCGACAAGTGTCTTTGAAGTTATGCCGCCAAAGTGTTAATTGATGGAGTTGTGATTAATTGCATTGGACAGAGTGTCAGAGCACCTGCCTGTTACACACTTTACACAAATCTCTTAATGCAAAATGAATGAAGATCGCCTAAATTCGTTATGAAATGAATTCTTCTAAAATTAGACTCCTGCATATCACAAAATGTGTAAGGTTCGCTTAAGCCTGATACAACAAAACGAAACAACAGTGAAACAATTATGAAAAACAGAAGAAAATAACATAGACTAGGACTCTTATAAGGACAATAATTGTGGACCAACAGTTGTCACCATTGTTCCAAACATGTAGACAATCCATGCCCGTCAAACCTCAGCCTAGCAAGAGATACAGACCTACCTACAGTCATACATGGATGTCATGGGGATAATCCAATACGGACCTTATAAATACAATAGCTTATTAAAATGCCTTTATTGAACTTTTCAAATACAAATTATTGCTAAAAATTATTTGATAGTAAAAATATTATGAATCTAAAACGTGTAGTAAATCATTAATTCCAAAATAGTAATATATCTTTTCGTGGCTACTATTTCATGTGCAATTTTGCAATAAAAGGCAAGAGTCATAAGAATATGGACGTATAATGATATAAAAAGAAATATACAATAAATAAGACAATATAAAAGCACCGATAAAAAGCAGCTCAAATTAAAAATATTTCCTAAAAACCAACTGGCCTGAAATTATAGATAGATTTGTTGACTTGTTCCAAAAGTCCTTTGTTTCATAGGTAAATTGCTGGAATACCATGATTTTTCAGAAGCCATGAATTTTGAGTAGAAAAACTGGAACCAAGACAATTTGACTACAAATATTTACAATAAATTTAGTAATTCAGCCACGATTCAAGATTTCAATATTTCAAGAAGTATAGAAAAAAAACATTGAGACATACTAGATATGGAAATAGAAATAGTATAAATAAATTTAAATAAAGTTGAGATTCATTTTCATTGTTTTCTCTTTGTCCGAAACTGACTATATTATACCAGACATTTTTTCAGAATCTGCTGGAAATGTCTGGTAAATTAAGCCCTGTATTCCAACCTTCCAACACATATGGTGGTAGTTTTTTTTTTATGCATGATTCAAAAATATATACATCAAAACTAAAAAAATTTGGAACTCTCTCTCTCTCATTTTAGTTCACATTATTTTGCTAAAGAATCTGTTTCAGCCAAATTTCAAGTTTGCATTAACCAACTTAAAAACATGATTTTTCGTTGAAAATTGAAAAGATATACCAGTAAATCTATCAAGAACACAACCATAAACTCAAAGAGCTGACAAACAAAGCTAATAAATGATAACTTTTCTTATAGGATATATTTCACAACTAAAAACGCAATTCACTATGTCGTTAAAACTAGTAACATCTATTGGACCAAAGTGTGTCCTTTGGAGACTTTGTATTGCTTGAGCATGGGCATTTCATTGATATTAAAGCCATTCTCTAAATTGTCAAAGCAACAAAAAGCTCTACTTTGATGCACGACATTGTGAATTACATCTAAAATCTTAACAAACTAAATTAACAAATCATGCAGAAATTATAAAATATAATCATAAAATATAGTACATCATTATCCCATTGGACCGAGTTATGGTATTTAAACACTATACAAAATTAACAGTAAACCAATCACTATGGTTACAATATCAAACTTTCAACTTGAAGCAGTGAAAATACGTTTTTGGTAATAAGTTATGTTTCCGTCTGAAACTCAATTCAGTGACAGAAATTAAAACAACCAAAAGGCAGGAAAATTTGTTCAACACTCTGTATCAAAATTTGCCAAAAAATGTCTGACAATAAGTTCTTACCATTCTTTAATGTCCTCTGTAGGCAGTGAATAGCAAGAGTTTCTGTGAGTATAGGACATTATTTGAGGTACCCGTACATAACTTTTGATCTTAAAACAGTTCAAAGTATTAGTTTTTCCTGAACCCTTCCTTTGACATGTAACCATAGTGATTTGTTTTGACTGTGTAGTGGGTGTCTATACTAATCTTAACTAAGGTGTCAGACTACGAGTATCAAAAATCAGGTCTACAATAATTACTTCAATAATTCAAATATATAATATACAAATTGTACAGTATCAAGCTTTAGATATATTACACTAATTAGGCCTAATTCCAATCCCAAGGTCCTATATTTTTGGAATAATATGTTTGATTGGTAATTCAAAAAATTCGACCTGGAGTTATTCCCCTTATACAAACTCGTAAGTTTTTGAGTCAAAATTGACACAACCTATCAGCTAAGTTGTATTGAAATTAGGCCTTAGCTTACATCTTAATATTATGCTTCATAAACTAGACATTACTAATTCAACCCAAAAATATTTCTGAAATGATGCATTTTGGAAACAAAAATAGATTTCAATTGCGTCAAGAAATTTGATGACTACCATTAGTCAAATTTTGACATTTAGCAATAAATTACACTCAATATGACAGCAAATTTTGAATAATATGTATTTTCCAGACATATGCAAGATGTTTATGTATATTTCATTGTCAATAAATCCTGAACCATTCCATTTTATATCCAACCAATTAATAATATAAACATAATCTTCTTCACAATCTTCATAATATGATCTTGAGTTTTAAAGATGTTGTTGGTATTAAAGATATTTTAAAGATATTTATCATTATTTATGCTACAGCAAAGACTATTATCATAATGATAGTGACAATGGTTGTAATAACTACGTGTAAGAATAACATAAATTTCTTGAATCTTCGACCCTGAAAAACAAAGTATTGTATTGTTAACATAATGCAAATACATACATTGACCTAACCTGATGACCTCTGCCGTAACCAACCAAATTCCTTCACTCTCTCACAAAATCCCAGCACTGGAGAGGGCAGGAATTTGATTGGTTAAAGCAAGAGTCATCAGGTTTGCTCAAAAGGTTATTGTGACGATTGTTCAAGAGGCCTGTCTTTAGACCCTAACTGATGTGGATATGTTTAAAATAAAAGCTAATGTAAAACGGAATGAACGTATATTGTTTTAAATGTAAGAACTTGTTTTAGGATGTTTGAGATGCATCTAAATGAAAGCACTGGCCTAGAACTTGTGTTCATATACTTACAACTGGCTCTGGTTCTGGGATGTAAAGTTTTGGATTTTCTCTTTTTTGAAATTCATACTTCTTTCTTCTCTCTACAAAAAGACATAATTAACAGTTAACAAATTTATGATGTAAGCCCTTTTTAGGCAACTCCACACAAGCCATTTCTTTCAGATTATTTCTTCTTTTATATTGTCCATGTGAAATTCAAATTTCCAATTTCTATACAATGAAATATACACACCCATCTTATCCAAATTTTCATTTAAGACCATCCAAAACTACCAAAACGTAATCAATGCCCCCTAGCCTCTCTAATAAATTACATTGTCTTAAATGCTTACCTTTGTTCTTCTTGTGGGTACAACATTGGTGTACTTCTAATGTCAATTCAATAACAATATGAGCTATAGCCCAAATAACAACAATCCAGGTAGCCCACCATGGTACCATAGCCTTACCAAACTCCATACCAATAAATATCTGAGGAACTGTAATATAAACAATATCCAAGTAAGTGAAACCCTTAGATGGAATATCTCAGTTGAAAGCCAATTGGAATGTCGTCTACTGGGCCATTGGTTGAGCCCCCATAAGGTAAGAATATTCAATTCATGTTTCATATCTGTGATAGTGTAGTTTGCAGTTGACTTTTCAGACTTCATATTTTGATCAGTTTTGAATTTAGGTCACTGTGACTCATGTTTATATCCTTGTTATATTATTTTTGTTCAAATGTGCCAAAAAATTGCAATTGACATCTTTAAAAAATATGGAGTTAATGTGTTGAAATATCTTTTCAATTGAGACAATAATGAAGTTATAAAAAGTTTTAGTTATCAAACAACTTACTAGATAAAACAGTAGCAATAGTACCAAAAGCCCAGTGAAACCAGTTAAATACCGGACGACATCTACTATCTTCATCAGGTCTCAATAACGCTAGGATTGGCTGAAATAAAAAAAACATACATCTCTATCACAATTTTGTCAAAACAATTTTTTCTTTTTTACACTTTACAGTAAATTTGAACAATTTTTCATACATTCTAGCCTCTTGATGCCATAACCATTGATTGCAATATTATCTATATCTAAATATTTGTGAGAGTTACTTTAAGCTTTTGCCTTAAGTGAATAGAGGCCTTCATTACTGATACTTACATTGATAAGAATACAGACAAACATAATAATACCAAGTATAGGATGAGCCTTGGCAGGTAACTCAGGGAACTGAAACATATAGTACATAACATTAAAACTATTAGACTAAAAATTCAAAAATTATCTCTGGGTTAAGGATCAACCTTAGCAAAGGTTAAAACAGTAAATAATATAAGTTGGTCATACTGACACGGTAGGTGCAATTAATCATTCAGGTTAGACAATAACTTGAGGTCTATTTGCTACAAGCTGTTTTTCAAATTCGTTTCCTAAAAGGACTAAAAAGTAAGTTACCTCACTATAGCCACCAGCTTCAACAAAGATCAAAATAAATCCTATAAATGTCAACAAGAAACACATAGCCATGAAGTTAAAATGAGTCTGAAAAACAACAGAAGCATATATTAATAGTTAAAGAAATGATTCCTTCTTTTATACTTTTTGTGAATATATTTGTAATAGTACAATTTGGACAATGGCAAAAAACAAGATGTGACATGACTACACACAAAAGTCCATGCAATTGAAATGACTTTGCGGGAAGTGACCTCATAAGTAAGACATACTATAATAAATCTAGACATGGATTTTCACTTATATAAGAAAAGTAAATGACAAATCAGGCACACTTACCACAAACCAGTAGCGTTGTTCATAAAATCTTCTATTAGGCCACATTGTCTTGAAATATTTAGTCATAATCAAAGCAATGGAAGCAAAGAATACCCAGGCCAAAAACATCAGGCATGCTGAAAAAAAAAAAACAAATATATATGAAGTCATGATGAAGTCAAAGTTGAAATAAGTCAAATAAATACAGCTGTCAATTGAAGTGGATGGACAGCCCACAAAAACATCATCATGAAGGCTGTGTCGATAGAGTAGTGAACATAAGAAAACCTTGTACATAAAAAGGTACCACTTACCATGAGCTTTTACTAAAGGATAACTAGATCTACCATTAATATTACTATTGATTCTCAGATCTACTTTAGATGGTGATACCCAGGGTAATTCATAGGCTCCTACTCCATGTCTCAATAGATTACCTGAAATTTTTAAATCATATGGTGAAATTCCAGTAACATCATGATTCAGGTTCAGTTAAATACTCCTAAAACAAAGCTTGATATCACATGACAAGAGACAAAAAAACACCCCTTTACTCTGAAAATTAGCTCTACTAAACATAAATACAGTGGTATATTGACAGCAAGAATGAATGTGTGGATGAGTTCAGTAGAAAAATGTGGGGGTTTCAATTACAAAACTGTACGTGGAATTGTGGTTTCAGAGCTTAAAGTTTTAAACTTCAAAGAAGTCCTTGGCTAGAAGATGTAAAATGAATTACTGGACAAGATTAAAATGAAACACATACCTTTAGAGGCAGTACCAGAAGCAATCATCAAATACCAAGAATTTCCCTGTAAATGATTGACTCTCCAATCACCAACTGGGTATTTCTGTCTCCACACTCTACATCTAATCCGTTTTAATTCATAATTATTATTTGATCCCTCTTCTTTTACAATACCAATTTTAGGCTGCAGAAACATAATAGGAATTATATCTTTCACAGAAAAATGAAATGCTTAATTGTAAATAATTTTTTGAGGATTGAAATTTTATTTTACATTTGAAAAGTAGTTGAATTTTACAAAAGCAAAAAGCAATGCTGCTTTAAGCTTAAAACAAAGTTGACAATTGCTACCTATCCACACACAAATTAAATCAACAGACATAATAAATGATATGCTGCAAGCTAGCTAAATCTGAACTAAGGAAAGAGTTCAATGTATACTTACGTCAGGTAACCGAACATTCTTATTAGGTGAACCATAATTATAGGACATAAATACTTCAGTTCTACCAGTCTGAGAATTATGTACACATTCCATAACAGAGTCATCTCCCTTTAAATAGATAATGCAGACGTACAATACATTGCCACATAACATCCATAACATATTTTATAAGTTAAAAGATTTCATTGTTATTGACAGAACAATTGAAAAATTGCTAGATTTGGTAGCCTTGATGCTTTTTTGGGATGCGCCTAGCTGACCGTTCTGATTTCTCATTTGACATCAGTGGTTCATGTTTTTCAAGAAAAGCTTCCGAGATTATGAATCCACCATCACAAATTCACCATTGAAGTCATCTGGTTTCTGATGCACAAACAAAGACTTGAATACCTTTTTACATGTTGATATATTGACAAAGAATCTGAAATCAACCACTGAAATTGTTTTCCTCTGTGTTGGACACAAAAAGTGCCATTTTGTTTCATGTTATGAAATCAACCAATCTTACCATGTAGGTATCATTTGAGAAACCAATAGCAATGTATTTATCATCTAAACCTTCAGTATAAGCACCCATCTCAAACAATACAACTTTTCCCAAGTCTTTCCAAGTAACTATATATCTACAATATGGTTCCCAACATCCTTCTGGTACTCTGTAGCAACCCTTTGATTTACCACATTCAGCTGTATTGATAGGATCTATCATCTATAAGAAAATATTTAATAGTGATATTTGCACCAGATTATACTTGATGAACATTATTCACCATTTCAAGGAGAATTCAATGCACTCATATTTCTTTTCTGTAATGTTGTTGTGCATCAAAGAAATGCTATAATGCTAAATTAGCAAAAACAACATAATTTTCTCAGATACAGTCCTTTAAAAATCAGGTAATAGACCTGAATACTTTTCAGTATTAAATCTGACGATTGGTTCGGGTACAATTGAACAAAAGTCTACATGACCAATTCAATGTCTTTAAGGTTATGGCATTTTGAAAATCCACATGCATCCAATACGGTTTATCTGTAGTAACTGTCCAAGTTTTCAAGGATCTGTGCAAACCCTCAAAAATCTGGCAAATCTTACCTTTTCAAACATTGGTTCGTTACTTGGAATTGGTGGTGCTCTAGGATCACGGATGATAACAGATTTTTCACGAACCCAATATTTCACATTATCCACAATAAATGATGCTCTGAATTCAATATGTCCCAGGTAATCAGTAGACGTCCATACTAGTTTGACAGGTGATTGTATATCTTGTCTTCTTACTGTACGTAAAGCTTTCTGTAATAGGTATATAATACATAAAAATCTCTAATTCTGATGAAAATGAGATATACCTATTAAAATGCAATAGAATGAATGATGTTGTAGGATTTAAGATTACATCAGATGTTAGATTAAGCTGGAATTGACATATATTTGACATCAATTGCTGTGCTGCTGAAATTTGATGTCTTCTGTCCACTGCTGATGAAATTAAGATACATTGGAAGCCCACTGCTGATGTAATTAAGACACATTTGATGCCCACTGCTGATGTAATTAAGACACATTTGATGCCCACTGCTGATGTAATTAAGATACATTTGATGCCCACTACTGATGTAATTTAAATACATTTGATGCCCACTGCTGATGTAATTTAAATACATTTGATGCCCACTGCTGATGAAATTTAAGATACATTTGATGCCCACTGCTGATGAAATTAAAGATACATTTGATGACCACTGCTGATGAAATTAAAGATACATTTGATGCCCACTGCTGATGAAATAAAAGACACATTTGATATCACCAAAGTCATGTAAAAACAACTTACACCATAGGGACTTAAACAATCTTCCAAGACTTCAAGTGATCCCAAAAGAGTAAACATTCCAATAGCTTCTTTAGTATTTAATCTTTTATCAACACGATAAGCAATCACCATAAATGCTTTAAATTCATAGCCAGCTTCGGCTGTTAAATTCACTGAAATATCAAATTAAGATTGATAAGCTTCAAGGACTATTTGAAGGGATTTATAACAGCTTTTATCTACGCAATCAGCAGAGACACGAGTTGTCTACTGGTCGTCAAGTAGTCTCCAGATCAGTGAGACAGGCCCTTTAATTAAACACCCCAAGGAATCTGTCAAAAATTTTAACTTATGAAGTGAGTAAAATCATGCAAAAACATGATTACCACATGCACACAATCATGGCTTAAAAAAAAAATGGCTACTTACACTGTACTTCCTCTCCTGGATTATAAATACGTTTATTGACTACAATATGAAAGGGTGAGGGTACACGTTGAGGTTCCGAGGTTAAAGGTGCATTATCAGGATGTAAATCACTACATCTACAACAATTGGTAGATGATAATAAAGGATTATAGCCCATAGCTAACTGAGCCATCAGGGCCAGAGCCACCAAAATGGCTGTTACTTTCATTTTGGTCCTTTCTTCTTACAACTACTTCTACTGAAAGTACAAAAAGAGTCAATTTATCATATTGTTCAGAAAGACACAGACGTTTTTCATGAGGAAATATTTTTCAATAGAACTGCCCTGCTTAACAGTACTGAGCCTGCACTCAAAAACAAGCAAAGAACAACAGAATCACAGTATATAGCTTGAGCAGGCACGGGAAAAACAAAACAATAGAAGTGCCATTAATAACTAATCCAAGGTTGGCTTCTCCTCTGTGTATATCATATTGACAATGAGGAATATAATCTATAAGTATAGAAACCACAAGAAGAAAACAGATACATTCTATCAGTCTGGTATTTTTCTATCTATTTATGAGATGGGTTCTATAAAACTACTGTAATGTATTATGACCAGGCTACCAGATAATGATAATTATATTGAATAATGATAAAATCTGACTCATCCTCTAATATCCCTCGCTGAACTCACTCTTGATAGAAATACAAATTAAACAATATTTAGATTCTACAAATAATACGTTAATGGCATTAATTGGGATCAGAAGTTAATTCTTTTAAATGACGCTAATAAAAACATATGCTCCTGGTGAATAACAATAAAAAAAAATCCCAAAAAAGACCATATTTTCAATTCTGCAAAAGAAACCTTGTGTTGACTGGTGATATTTCAAATCAAGGTTGATTTTAAACAATAAAATGGAGACAATGGAGTTTTACACCCTATTTGCAAAGTGTAACTGTAAGCTTACAACGTAGGAAATTTAGCATAAATGTTTTCCAATTGATGAACCTAAATAGACTAAGGTAGTATATATGCATCCCATCCTATATTTTTAAATAATGAAACACTATATAGTTTATATGTAAAGTTATTATAAAGCGTAGGAAGTAGCTTGTAGTGCTATTTATATATAATATAAGAGATAGATGTACTATATTCCCTTATGTCAATACCACCAAGCATAATATGCCAGGGTGTCTGTCTGTCCCTCCCATTAATCTTCTGTGAAAAACAATCTGAAATCATTCTACCATTCCCATATATCATTAACATGGAATGTGACCATACTGTCACAAATCACATTTAGGTCAAATAACATTTGAGACATTGATATCCTAATATGCAATTCTGAAATTCCAACGAAATTTCATGGTAATCGAAATGGCATAAAAGTGTCCCTGAAACATGTTTATTGACTTTGAAATCCTTATCAAAGACAAAAGGTATAAAAATAGAACTAAGAATAGCATCAATAGTACTGATAGAGGCAGCAATAGAACTTATAAGGAATTCAATTTAACCAATAATTGCATCAATAATGTACCAGTAATCAATGAGTATAAACTTATTCAGAAAATGCAAACAATATGAAAATCTCTGAAATACCTGACCCAGTTACTTATGTCAGTTAAAATAACAAGTTTATCTAGTTATTAAATATGTTATATACATGTCAAACTTGAAATACGGCAAATTTAATACCAAAAAAACATTTCTTAATGTCTTTATATTGGACTAACCATTTGCTGTATTAGTTTTATTTCAAGGACATTTTTTTGCATTGAAATCCAATTATTTTGACATCACCTACAGGCTTTAATAATTCGATAGAAACTTTTGGGTCAAAACAAAAATTTACGAAATTGAGCTCATACGTGGTAACAGAAATAGAACACTAAGCTTAAACTGACTTCACTCACTGATTCTTTTACTGTACTCGTACCAAACTAAAGCTTAAAACCAAACTCATATTTAATTGCAACATGAGTATATATTGAGTAAAATGGGCTCTGACGACAGAGCAAATATTAAACAAATTCAAAATACCCTGAGTTAGTTTTGGTACCAATTTGTATGGAATATAAAGTTAGGTTTGTTATTATCACCTGTATCTTATTGAAACGCTGCCAAATGACAAGATATTCCACATGCTAGGAGTGAGGTCATCTGTGATGAATTATGACAAGCAGAAATCAAGGATGATTCTTTTCCTTTTATTTTCAATATTAGGTAGATTTGGTTGAAAAGGTAATGAGAGAGAGGGATAGGGGGACAAAAAAATTTGCCATGTTTTTATTTTGGTACACCTTTCATGGTTTGTTGACGAATTGTTAAGTAACTAAAAGCCAGATTTTGATTATTAAAGTGTTATGGAGCTAAAACTGAGTCAAGAGTCAAGCCTGTATGATTTTTTTTTTTCATTATTGTATATATAGGTGTTATAAGCTAACTTTGTTATTGTTGTCAAAAGGATTGTCTAATAAAGATTTTTATATTATGAAACTAGGATGGTGAACCCCATCAAATTGGAGCACATATACATAATAGAAATTTAACAAGAATTTCCTTCCCCAGTCGAAATAAATAAAAGATCATCCCCTATGAAGCAATGAGTATAATACTGTATGTAATGATATACATATATCATTATCAAAAACAATGTGAAGCTAAAAACAGGAAACTAAAAGGCATTTCCTCCCAATCCAAAATCAGTTATAGATACACACTCCATTCATGGTAATCAAAGAGTCTATTTTCAGACACTATTTCAACCCTATAACAAATTTCTTTCATTTTTATATATTGACAAATACAGTTTCTCTTTTATTTTCTGAAAAATTTTGTTTGATTTAAAGGGACAGATGCGCCACTCAGAAACGTGAATTTTTTAGCCAAGTCAATCAGTGATAATGTTCACAGCTCACCGTCAAAATTTGAGCCTTCAATCCCATGTATGTCCAGAAATATCTGCATTTGAATGTTAAAATGAAGATTCGTCATTATAGGGTAAATATTTTAAGAAAATATATATATAGAAATAGTTAGTAAAATTCCTAGTTTGAAGTATTTTTAAAGGAACTATGCTATTTTCGTACATGTCTAGTACTTCTGAAGACTGTTTACATATTTTCAAGACTCAAATCAACCAACCAAAATGTCCCTTTAAATTTTTCGTAAGATCAAATTTTACTTGGATAGAACAGTAGCATGTGAATTCTATATTGGGATACATATAAGTGAATTAAGAATTGTAATATACTGCTCTACACTTGATGCACTGAGCACTATTTTAACAGTAAAAATATTTCTTATTGTGAAAACGAATTTACATTAATGTACAGTATAGCTTACTTTGTCAAGGTACAATAGACCAATGGTTAAATAAATCAAAGCAAATGACCATCTGTGAAAAATAAACCTTCACCTGATGGAATTTAAGATTATTTTAGATAAAACATCAGAAACACTCTCTCATGTTGTACATTTAACTACCATCACACTTTCAATTCTTCCCAAAATACTCAGAGAATTCTATTAATAGAACATTCCTACCACTTGGATCCCATCTCGCAACCCTAATAAATACTTCCACCAAAAACATAGAATTCTGTTACATCTTATCAATTCCATTTACTTGTTCTTACCAATAATCTGTTAATCCCTATTAATCCACTTCAAAATCTAATAATCTATCCTATTTACACTCAAACCATTCACCCAGCCACCATACTAGCAATGTATAGGGTTTCACTCCCATATAAGGCACAACGACCTTTCAACTTTGACATATAAGTGACCTAGTGAATCAGACCCTCCCACCTAGTGTTTGTTAGAACTAGTAGAGTGAGTCTACAGTACTATATAACTGACAGTTGCCTTACACTCCTTTAACACCGGTTTTTACCTACCCACATCAAACAAATATTCAAACCTAGCAGACACACTTTTTATTTAAAGGTCATCAAAAAAACGATGCACCTGTTTTGTTTTCAAGCATTATAGCTGACTTTTTATTAAATATTTGTAAGCTAATTTTTGTAATTCGATAAAGAATTTGTTGCGTTTTAACATCAATCTATTTGTAATAAATCAAATAAGCTGAATGAATTTTCGCAATAAACCTACTATAAATAAGTTCAACATCAGTACCTTACAGTGGGCAATTTTTTTTTAGTACATCTATTGTGAATTTATAATATTATTTATATATATATATATATATATTATAGTTTATTGCAATTGTTCTTCATAATTGTGAACAGAATGAATTTACTTTGTTTTGGACATAATAATATTCTCTATGAAATTGTTTTGTTTATGATTGAGGAAAAAATTTTTGTATACCATTAAACTATCAGTTTCCCAATATGAAAAAAAAATTGCATATAAACTGACCTATTTTTGCCTAAAGGAGTTGTATAGTTATACATAAAGAATGTAACCACCTACAATAACTAGATATAGTTGAATGGAGAACAGGCGTAATTGACCTTAGATATGTTTTCGAATTTGTAATGATAAAGTTATGTATCTAGGTCACTGTCTATAATAAAACAGTTCATCCCAAATAATATACACCTAGTTGATTCACAATAGATCACAGCTATAAAATTATCTATACAGATTGGTCTACTTTTTAGTCTATACTACTCAGTACTACATTGTAATACAGAATAAATGAAATGATAGTACCAGTACACCTATTGAGCTAATCATAAAAATAATGCTATGTTAATAAGGAATATAATTATCAACAAACAGATCTCAATATCATAGAATAGTGTTGGTTAATGCCAATCATGCATTAATATGAAACACATTGTGATACAAGGTCTAAGAAACAATATTGAAATAGTAACCAGTTAAATAGACATAAAGCAATGCTTTCAATGACTTTAAAATTACGAATATATATACAATCAAAATATCCTGCTTATTAGTTCGTTCTACTATGACAAGCAATAGGTATCCCACTACAGTATTTCTATACTCATTTAGACTCATTTCCTCTATTAACCAATCTTGAAATTTAAATTACAGCCATAAATTCCAATAATTGTGAAGACAGTGGACAGTTCTTCCTGCTGATCTACATCACTGGGTTACAAACAGAGATCCTATAATCTTGACCTATTAGTACCAGTAGCCTACTTAGAGATTAATTCTCAACTAGGATGACTAAGGCCTACTTCATGACCAACTGATGCCTGCCCAGATTTCAAGGCCTATGCCAAAGGTACCACAGCTAAGGGATACACTTACTGCAATAACTTGAATAAGGTGATAACAGGTGCTTGTGTACTTAAGTTGTAGGTCTACTCATAGGATGTCCAGATTATTCCAAATAGGCCTATTACATGTAATTGTAAGAGACAAAAGTCTTAAATAACATGGAAGAAATTTTCTAGCATGCACAATATTCAGCTTATTAAGCCATATGCTTTGAGCCAGTGACATTGTTCCGTTGTGGTCTGAAGCTTATATTTGACCTGGCTGAATTACGAAATATTCTAGTTTTTGGTTTGATTTATCGTTAATAAATGCTTTTTCATTAGAAAGAGAAACTAGAAACAAACCTACCTCTGGAAATGGCGATATCAACGAGTCTAGGCTCTGTTTCAACACGAGTCTGGCAATTTCATTCCATAACTAGCGCTTGCTTTGTTATTCTGATACCCTGGAATTTACATGAGTTACCTTATTATAGACTCACTATCAAGGGACATAATCCAATTTTATACAGAAACATTCAGACCACAATAATTTAATAATTAATACCTACTTCATCTTCACACCAATACATGTATATTTACAACTGTTTATAACTGTGAATGGAAGACAGTCTTGGGTATGAATTTGAATTGAAAAATAAGTTTCACACTTCACAAGGATGTCTACTAAGCTTTCCGGTTTTGATGACCGCTAACATTATCTAGTGATAGTTGAGAGGGAGGCAGGGATAGACAGGGCTAAAATTTTTGAAATTATGCATTACTGCAGTTGCAGGCACAATGAAATGAAATGGAAGATGAGAATTTCAATGAATCATTTTTGCAATGAAATTTATTGGTATCAAAGAGCAGATTCAAAAAATTCCTCTAAGCTGACTCTAAATAAATCATAATGCATATGAACATAAGCATAAAACTTATTGCTCCCAAATAAGGGTTTAGGTTAAACAGCTACCAAGGTACCATCTACCATAAGTGGCCTTATGGTGCGCTCTCTAAGTCATCCAGATTCCCATAAAATATAGTGATTAAATGATAATGATATTTAATTATGTTGTAAATGAAATAATAACAATGTAATAAGATGTCATTAATTTGATAATATATAATATTAATTTACAATCTATCTGAATTGTTTTCAATGATTTAAACATGACCTTATATAAACTACATTTGGTAGCGATTGTCGTCTGCTTGGCGATTAGTGCCGTGGGTTTGAAGCCTCATGGTAAGAAAATTTCTGATGCCTGTGCTTATGCTTTCGAGAGTCAGTCCAGTGTCTGCTTTCACTCCCTAAGAAAGGTGAAAAGTCAAGCACTGATATTTGGGCACCAGAATGATTTAAAACACAAACCACATTATTTTGAGGTACTTGAAGGTATCATAGTCAGACTTAACACAGCTTCATACACTGCCTCAAAATAATTCAAACATTTCTTTGTCTTTCTACAAATCATATAAACTACAGACTAACATTAAGTCAGACTATCATTCAGGAAGTGATATGGAGATACCATTACGTTCAGCCTGTAGACAAGCAAATAGACAAGCATCTCTTTAAAATATATAAATGAATATTAATCCTAGCTTTTATAAATTACATGTTTACAATTTTTGTTTGTTAAGTTAAAGAATGAGTTATGGTTGTATTGAAATAATGCTGAAAGAAGAATTTACTCAGTAGGCTCTTTATGCTTTCAAATTTGTACTTATCAAGATAATGTCAAATTTTCTTTTACAATTGTAGCACTAGATATACTTTTTCGGCATCTTACTATGTACAATGACATGGACAAAATTATGTGAATCAATGCTAAATTTTAATTTTCCAAATGTCAAAAAATGACATACAACTCAAATATTGAAAATGCCAGAATTGTCTTAAATGCTCTAATGAAGTTTTATAGGTTATCTTATACATATTTATGCTTAATGAATATGAAGTTGATTTAAAAATTTGATTCAATAAAAACAATTATACATAATACAGAATAATTCCAATTTTTCTTTAAAGGGACAGGTGTGCCATTTTGGGGGGTTGACTTTAGTTTTGAATATATGTAAATAGTCTTCAGAAGTACTAGAAATGTACGAAAATCACATAATTCCTTTAAAATACTTCAAACTAGGAATTTTACTCATTATTTCTACAAGTCTTTTCTATATATCACAGAGTATCTTAAATTAACGAGTCGTCATTTTAACATTCAAACTCAGATAATTCTGGTCACACCTAAATTTGAAGGCTCAAATATTGAATTCCCGTTTCTGAGACAAAAGTGTGATTGGTCAAAAAAATGGCCTACCTGTCCCTTTAACATAATTTTATAAATCTATTCTTTCTTAAAAATATTTTTATATTTTTTCAATTCGTTTCTTAAAATTATCATCAAAATAAATATCATATAATCATCTTCAATATTTTTACATTTTCATTTATAGAATTTATCTAATAACAGAAAGAATTGATGAAACCATCATTTAAAGTGATATGGTCCTCTTGACTAATTTGTTTTAATATTTGATCAATTCCTCCTACCCCAAACAATCTTATCTAGAAGATAATTAAAAGGCTATATCACTTTAAATTTTGTGTCAATTCTGAAACCTCTTCTTAAGAAATAACATGCTTATCCTTAATAGAACACATGGAGTTCCCTTTTCTTTAGAAAAAATCCAAGATATTTCTGAATTAATGATAGGTTTGATACTTACTTAGAAAATTTTACTTTGTGAAACAAAACATGCAGCAAATTAAGTAAAATAAACCTTGAACGACTGTGACAGATATCAAGCGAAAGATCTAATTATCTTTGAGCACTATGTATGCATCAGTTTAAGGACTTTATTCTCTTAAACTCATAATCCTTAAAACCAAATTACTGGTAAAGGCTCATTCCCTATTTCTATAAAATATCTCACAATCAACTTTTGTTATAAGTGTAGTATTTCTCATTGTCATTTTCTCCACTTACAACAAATTTTCATCACAAGATCTTTTAAGCAACAAGGTCCATAAAAAGAACGAACTGCAGATTCTATTCAATATATATCTCTAATGTCAAAATTCCATGGACTTTAACTGCTTGAGCCCTCTGCCTTAACCTCTTCTTTTATTTCTTCTTTTTTCTCATCTGCTTCCACATCCATCTTGGATTCTTTTTCTTCAGCATCTTTTTCTTTGGCTTTCATGATGAGACATTTCTTGATCTCTCTACCAATTTCTTTAGACATGGGTGGTGGTACAGCATTTCCAACTTGTCGATGTTTGTCTAGAATGTTACCAAAGTATCTGTATGTATCAGGAAAGCCTTGTGATCTAGCACATTCTCTTACACTGACAACTCTATGCTGTTCTGGATGAAGAACTCGTCCCTGTTTGCCCATAGGTTCAGGATTAGTGACAGTGGTACTAAAGAATCCATCCCATGCCAATCTTCCATACAGACCAGCCCAATGATTGTGTCTGTTACCAGTATGGGGTAAACACCAAGGGATCAATGTATTGAATTGACGATGCTCAGAATCACAAGATTTACCCTCAGAACAGGAACAAACTCCTCTCAGTTCACCATCTACTCCTCTACCATTCTTCTTATCATGATGAGTATATTTCAACTTATTACTCTTGGTCCCATCAGACAGCCGTGCCTCAATATTGGGCAGGTCTCTCCAATCTGAGCCTGGTGCCAATGGAATGTACTGCATTCTAGCATGGACAAGAGCACTCATATCTTTACAGACATGATCTCTTAATATTGGTTGATGTTGGTTACCTCGAATCATTTTCTGATAATGTGTCTGAGGATCATCTTTATATGAGATTTCTTCCGCCTTGGCACCATTCCTAATTTCTGGTAGGTCTGACATACAATCTCTGACAGTAACAGTTCTATAAGGAGCACTGGTAGTTCTGGTTATATTAGAAGTATACTTCTTTTCATCAATACACACTGACAACTGCATGGCACGTGGAGCAAATGTATACAGTGGTTCGGGGTAGAATGGTAACTTTTCTCCTGGAGCAGCAGCCAATATGATGGCACGTCGTCTGGTTTGTGAAACTCCATAGCAACCAGCTTGCAGAATACCAAATGTACACTGATAACCCATTCTGATCAAACATCTCAAAGCCAACTTCAGAACCATGCTACGTTTAAATGAAACAAAGTTTCTGACATTTTCCAATAAAAAGAATCTAGGTCTATAGAAGTCACAGAAACTGAGGTAGGAAGCAATCAAAGAGTTCTTAAATTTGGAATATTCCCTGGAATTGAATCGGTTCATTCCACTGAAACCTTGACATGGTGGACCACCACATAAGAGATCAACTTGTCCTTTCTGAGGTAAGTGTTGTCCAAGTTCATCTGTCTTCTCCCCATCCATAGCACGGCGTAACAAAAAGTTACAATCCTGGCTGAAGACAGTTGACCCTGGGTTGTTTAGTCGGAAGGCTTGAGCAGCAGGTTCAACTATCTCTATGGCCCATTTAGATTCAGCAATACCAGCTTGATGGAAACCTTCAGATAGACCTCCACACCCAGCAAACACATCTAACATCTGTAGCTTCTCAAATTTAACTTCCTTAGACTCCTCTGTTGGTTCTTCTCGAGCTTTTCCTTTCCCTTTGCCTTTACCTTTTCCTTTGCCTTTACCCTTGCCTCCCATCATTCTGGCAGAGCTAGGAGGTTCCTCAAACTCTCTCTTCTCTGAATCATACATTTCAGTGAAATAAAAACCATCTTCAACTTTATTGAAATATTCGGTTGTATCCATTAGCAAGTTTTCACTGAAGACAACCTTACATTTACCATGAGTATTTTCAGGCCTATAAAACTTTCTTATTTTCAACCTTATCTCAGCAACATTGGCAATCTTACTCTTAGAAGAATTCTTACAGAATATTCCAACAATCTGACCAATACGGAAAGGATCAGGACATTCATTATTGGAGCCTTTGATGTAATCACTGGACTTTCTGTAAGCTTCTGGATAAAGCAGTTCATCGACCTTACGTTTACTAATGTTGATTTTCTTATTGGAAGGCTTTACATTAAAGTCAAAGGCTTCAGGATCAATGTAGCAGCAATCACCAACATTGTATTGAAAACCATCTCTCTGAACATAGCCATAGAAGACCTTATTAGAACTCTCTTCAGAACCATCAACTTCATCACCAACAACTGGAGTCTCTTTCTTCCTTAATTCTTCAAGACGATTACAACTGATGCAGAATTTATGGGATTGATTTTGTGGTACATCTGGTTTCTTTGGTGGATCTTCAAAGCGAACATAATCAGGATTGTACCATTTTTGATAAAAGAATGTTTTACCATCATCTTTTTCTATAACATTATCAGAATCTGGATCCATTATTCCACCAAGCATTCTCCAATCCTTTGCTGGTTCTTTATATATAATTGTGACCTTATCTAAAACATATTCTAAATTAGAGTCTTCACAATCGTCAACCAAAAATAACTCTAAAGGATCACTAGCTTCACCTAAAACAGTATCAGAACCGCGACAAAACCAATCAGCATGGAAGAGTTTTTCTTTAGAACTACTCTCCCACATGGATGTGACCTGTGCTATATAGAACGGTATGGAAGAATCCTCTGGTTTAACAGCAACATGATCACCGATAGCTATTTCAACACCATCAATATCAACAGCTTTGAAATATTTTTTACGACCTTCTATAGCAATCTCCTCACCAACCCATTTAATCTCCTTAACAACTCTCTTTCCCTTATGTGGATGGATTAAAGCATGGTGAGCTGATTCCTTTTCATTGATGACTTCATTTTCTTTATCATCATCAGCATCATCTTCCAAGGCAGCATCTTCTTCTGCTTCTTTGAGTGCCATGTTAGGACATCTACGTAACTTGCAAGCTTGCTTAGATCTTCCTGAACCACCAAATTTGATCATGTCCATGCAAGAAGTGCATGTACCACAATCTGGTTGTTGACAAACTGCACAAACTCCACATCTTCTTCTCTTAACACCACCATTACCAGTTTTATCATCAATCTGTCCATTGAACATGCTGTCAAAAATACTCTCCACCAAAGCAGTGGTAGTGGCTTTACTTTGGGTAGGTTTTACCTTTTCTTTGGTAGGTTTCAATTGGCGCCCCATAGCTTTTCTTCTTCCCAAAGTGACACCAGCAAGTTTGATTAAGGCTCTCATACATGGTGTTGTCATTATCAATTCCTCATCAAAGTCTGCTGCCTCATCATAACTCTGAACCTGATCAACAACAAACTGAGCATGTCTTAAAAGAGAATCCTCTGAAAAACTAGCAATACCTTTAGGAGGAACAGTGGTATGGATTTTGTTTAACAGATCTTCATATGTAGCATCAAAATTTGTGGACAAGAACTCAATGACAACTTTGGTCATATTGACTTTCTCTTGAAGAGCATTCCAAATGTCAGCATAAGCTTCACTAGGTTCCATCAAAATATAGTCAGCATAAGCAGATCCAATTCCTACCAAGACCTTCTCTCCTCCATCAAAACCAGCTGTCCACCACTCATTTATTGGACCCATTTGAGTTGCAGAAACACCACCTTCTGGACTGGAATTTTCATCATAAATGGGCTTAATAACACCACTAAACATCAAGTGAACATTTTTTTCAACTAGACCAGTATCAAAAGCACATAAATGGGTTTGCTTATCATAGACACTAAAGTTTGTTAGTTTATGCATGGGTCGAAAGAAGCTGTCATCTTCTGGAGCTTCACCAAAATACATGAGAGACTGGTCACACATGGCTATTTCTTCTGGTAGAGCATCAGATGGGTCACCTGGGAACAAAGCCAAGTCTTTAGAATTTAAATCCTGTCTACATTGACAACATTTGACTACTTTAGGAGCAGGAGTCTTTGCCTTCTTTTCAAGTTTGATGTCTTCCTCTACCTTCTCTTCACCTTCAATTTTCACTCTCTTGGTTTCTTCTTGATCATCAGATTGTACATCTGATTTAACATCTGAATCTTCAGTAGAAGTATCTTGTGCTTCAGATTTTCTTTTCACCGATGGTTTGCTAAACATTGAAGTGATACTTGGTTGAATGCTTTTCTTGGTACCATTTTGAGCACCATTGGAGATACCATTTTCTGCTTTTGCTTTTCCCTTTGGTGTTCTTTCTTTCTTCTTTGCAGAGCCTTTACTATGGCCATTTTGCTTTTCACCATTTATTTCTGACCTTCCATTCTTAGTTTCCCCATTTTCTTTGTCTGAATTATCAGTATCGGTTTGGTTGTGGCCATTTGTCTCCATTTTTTCTATCTTGTCTTCCATTAGCTTTTTACTGGGAGGCTCCTCATCTTCCACATTTTTAGCTTCAACATCAGCTGTCATATTTCCAGATCAAATTCTGAAAAGATAACACAAAATTATTTTCAACCTTGGTCAATTGACAACTTAAAATGGATTGTAGAAAGGTTTTTCAAAAAACATTATCAGGGGCACAGACAGAATCAGTTTACACCATTAAAATTTTCAATCAGACATCTGTGGTTCCTCCAATTCCACTAAAAGTAAGTGTTTGATGATGTTACTAATTGCAAAACATGCTTTATCACATATGGCCCTTATGACATCATCAGACAAGTTTAAGTGGAATTCCCTTGCCTTTGCTTGGAATGATAAGACTTGTGGTGGATAAAAAAAAAAGGGACAGGAAAGAGTTACAGCAGCCATAACTTGAAATGAGTGTGTTTTATTACATCTAAGCCTAAAATTCGTTTCGATACGGAACATGTTATATGTTGACTCTCTTTGTTGGTATTATTTGTCATTAAAAATAAATTATCTATTACATTTGAAAATTACATGCTATTGCCACTCACTGCAGAATCCATCGGGTTGAGCTTACAACACTTACAGAGTACCAGGGCAAAGTAATTTTAAATGCATAACAACATATGATTTACCCACCTGATAACAGATGTGACTTTCTAAGATCTGTATGATCTATATTTATCTTTGGATCAGAAAGAGAAACTGTCAATTAGCCAAAATCATGAATCAAAATTTCAGTTTTAGCTTAATTTTACGTTTTCTTGGGATTTTAATATTGTTTTGTTGACTTCCGGTGATATTTCGCGCGTTTTAAAGAGTCCATTAACCAGACGCAAATGTCAACAGAAAAAAAACACTGGACAACAGCGACATATGTATAGTATGTAAATATAGGACATGGATTTGCATTCTGATTACGCGTAGGAAAACATTATAATGCCATCATAGAACTGTATAGAAATGTCATATATAACGTTTTATATATAAAATTGTGAGACTCAAATAACTCCAAGATAAGGATAGCAAAAAGTAACCTTTATGAAAGCCAGTCTTTGTGGAACTAGGTCATATCGGTAGTTTTCCACTTTTGTATGTGGTCCATAATCAGTCATATCAGTATCTATGGTTTGGATGCAACATGATATTAATTAATATAAGGCTTGCAGACAATGCAGAAATCACACAAGAACTTGTTTGTCTTACCTGTGTCTAGAAAAGGTGTTCTTTTAAAAATCGCATCAAATTTCACATAATTTTGTCTTAGAATGGTTCTATTGATGTTTTCATTCCATGTGTTTCATTATTGAACTTGAATATACAGGTATAGTCAACATTGCCAGCAATTTGTATTGTATAAATTTTCACAGCAAAAATCTGCTTTCATCAGTAATATTTGCAGTAGGCTATATATATATTCCTTAAATACCATAGACTCAGTTACAGACTGGTAATACTTTATAAGCTGGCTTGTAAATTATTTGACAAATTGCATTGCCCAACAAATATCTCTAAAATATCATTTGGTGTTAGGGTGTATTGAGACGAGTCTCAATGAAAGCACTGGCCTAGGTTTCAAACTTGTTGCTTGTTGACAGATAGATATGATATTTGTATCTAACTAACTTCTAGAATCTGATTGGTCTATATTAGCATTGCTAACCATTGATTTTCGCTGTGAAGTTTCTGATAATAATACATTAGAGAACAACCATGATTTTTGAAATATTTTATTAGGATAAACACTGAGTATAATTGTAATTTTTTATTTAGAAATATTTCTGTAATGGTTCTCCTAAAGTTTTCTCCATTTCCACAATAACACGATGTGATTTAGACTCTACTTCTTCATTATCATCTGAAACAAATACAGAAATCAGAACCTGAAGCATGTTGTTACTCAAGAGATTAGCATTATGTGATCTTCAGGCAACTGACCTATTTAAGCAGGTGTTCCTACTGAAGTTTGTCAAGTAGAACTCTAAATTAAATAGCACAATCCAAATTTTCACTGCATTGAATATATCCTGTTTACTATTTGATATTTAAAATCTTCCTTAAACACAGGTAGAGGTTAGACTTTGGTCCAGGTTCTATATCAAATAGCACAATAAATATTCTGTCAAATAGAATAATGATGAAGCACATAGGGTTTAAATACATTTAACCTACTCACTACCCTTAGGGGCTCCAGAAGCTGAGTTTTAAATATTATCTTGAAGTAATACACATTGAAAGTTTGATATATTGGTTATAGTATGTATATAAGTTTTTTGAAATGAAAAGGCCTACCTTCCATTAATTCAGCCAGAAAAGGAATTGTTTCTGGTAATAAAGTCATGAAATCTAGACCTAATTTCTTATGGAATTCATCTTCAATTTCTAAAGCTGCCATTCTTACCTAGAATATACATGCAGATGGAAATTACAATGAAATATTTTTTATGACTCATAAGAAAAGGAAGAAAAACTAGTCCCAAACTGGCAGAGTAGTTAATCTCCTCGTTAACAAAACTAAATTATAATTTCCATGCTACTACCACTGTTGTACTTTGCCACACAAGCTATCTGTGTTTTTGCCACGATTGCATATATTACCTTGTCAGACAAGCTATCTGTGTTTGCCACTATATGTTACTTTTCAAGACAAACTGTCTGTGTTTGCCACTATTGTCAGACAAGCTATCTGTGTTTGCCACTATATGTTACTTTTCAAAACAAACTGTCTGTGTTTGCCACTATTGCCAGACAAGCTATTTGTGTTTTTGCCACTGTTGCATATATTACCTTGCCCAACAAGCTATTGCCACTATTGCCACGATTGCATATATTACCTTGTCAGACAAGCTATCTGTGTTTGCCACTATATGTTACTTTTCACGACAAACTGTCTGTGTTTGCCACTATTGTCAGACAAGCTATCTGTGTTTGCTACTACATGTTACTATTCACGACAAGCTATCTGTGTTTGCTACTACATGTTACTTTTCACGACAAACTGTCTGTGTTTGCCACTATTGTCAGACAAGCTATCTGTGCTTGCTACTATTACTGTCTATATTACCTTGCCAGACAAGCTATATGTGTTTGCTACTATTGCTTAACAAGCTATCTGTGTTAAACACGAAAGAAGACTTACCAGTGCATCAGAATGTCTAGTTTTAAGAAGTATTTGATAGTTGAGTTTTTTCCATAAAGAATCATCATGGGCTGCTAGGACTAAGTTACCAATACAAGGTACTAAATGATTAGTTACTCTGTTTTTATAGATACTTTCCTTTTTATTGTATGGTAAATTATCAATCTGAAATTATAAACAAACAAATATAATATGTAAATAAATCATTTTAAAAATTTGTACAAATATCAAAGATACAGGTCAGCTACACTGTTTGAAAATATAATCTGCTGAGATAAAGATGTTCAATTTTCATTCTGGAAAGTGGTAGAAAAATTCCTGATTTTAGACAAATCTGCCAAGCTCTGAATTCCTTTGACAGGTCTCTGTTTCTCAGAAGGTTCATCATGTTAGAATTGTAGTACAGTATTTCTCAATGTAAATTTTCACATTTTAAATTGCTTTTATTCATTATAAATATCATCCATTCTGTAGGCCACTCTAAGAGTTATAAACGCTGCTAAGAGTAAAAGACTTACTTGATCTACTATTGGTTGCATGACAGTTTCAAATCTATCAGAAGTTAAAAATCCTTCATTATCATAGAGAAAACATTTAGATAAACAATCTAATATAGATGTTATTAATACATTCTGTTTATTATTATTAACCTTTCCTTTACCAAAATATCTCTCATCTGAAAAAAAAGACGATAGAATGTATTAACTTATCCATTTAAAGTAACTGTGGACATGGTTAGTAGATTAGACTTTGAACAGAACATGTTCAGAACCCACCAATCAAGCGCCACCATAGTGATAGAGGTTATAGTCAAGCATATAAGAATCCTCATTTCCAGTCCCAATTATTTTGGAATCCCTGATAAGCACAGAGTCATCTTGGATCCTCATGAACAAATAAATTTAAAAGTGAAATGAAAAATGTTGTAATATACTAACTTGTTTTAGATGAATTGTTCAGATCTAATATTTGTGCTGTATAATTAACTATAGGACCAGCTACTATCATAAATAAACTTCTTAATGTTTCCACCAGACTGAAATATATAGTATTTAACATAACTACATGTATCAATAGCTACTGTCTGAATAACTTTAAAGGGAAAGACGAATGGGTATGAAATCTCCTATAAAGGTTATCAACCAGGCATTTGGTTAAGACAGAAAGAAAGAAACAAACAACAATTTTTCTTTTTTAAAAGGATAACAACCCGATGCCCTTAAGTCTTTCTGCTGGTACTTGGCCAAACCTCTTGGCAGAACAATGAGGAAAGATGAATGCTAAAAGGTCACTGGGATTAGAACCTACAACCACTGCAACCGAGTGAGAGAAACTCTTAAGACCTGATGGTAAAAATCATTTGATAAAGGTTTCTTTAATTTTGCTTTCTTAATTTTCAATGGCATAAACTGCTGCATGTGTTGATTTCCCCTTCCCCCTTAAAGATTCATATCAAACACCATGATATAAGAATAAGATGATGACTTACTAGTCACTAAGACGATATAGTACCAATATTCTATCTTTATTATTATCTCTTGTACACCAATCAAATACCTAGAAAAAATGTTCACAATTACTTGTAGGGTGTTTTCAAAAACCTTGAAGGACTCCAGGGACCTGTGCAAACACAGTAATTCCATGCATAAAAGAGATTTTTTCTAAATACACATAGATTTGGACAAGCTCAAGAAACACAATCAAAGTTTGGTCTTTATAGTTTGAATTTTGAGCAAAAAAAATGTACCTTAAACATCATAGGTCTAAAGCTAGCCTCTGACATCTTCATTACCATACTAGTCATAGTTGGAATAACAGAATCTTCTATAGTGATAATACCACTTTCTTCAATAGTCTACAAAATTATCAAACATCTTTTACTAGCTGATAGAGCTCATTTTCATTATATCCATAGCACTTTTTAAAATTACATACAGTTCTGTTACAATGTAACCTGATAATATCACATAAGTTTAGACAGTTCTTAAACTATGCCATTAACCTATGCTATTATTTTAAAAGGTCTTGTGTGTATGTTAAAGATCTCTTGATAAGTCGATTGTTTGTGTCTATGTGTTGAATCATAACTAGAATACTAAAATGTTTAATAATTACCTGAGAATATTTAATACGGAAATCAAATGCTTTATAAAAGAATTCTAAGAGTTGATTTTGATAACTATCTAGATCTTCCTTCTTCATCTCTGATATATGTTCTTTTAATATAGACATGACAAAAACTAAACATGGCTGAAATCAGAAAAAAAAACATTATGAAATAAATATACCAAATGCCAGTAAATAATATGAGGTATAAGAACTCTCCAAACAGGAGAATAAGTACTGGTAAACAAACTCAGAGGCACAGTAGTATTTGGTGCTCTGGAAGGGTTAGCATGACATGTCTCCATAACTTATGCTTCTTAGTTATTGGAATTTGGCTGCAGAATGACCTCAGGGTATAGTATTGTCCATTAGCAATGTAGTTAGCGTATAATAAATATAAAATTGTATATAATATATATATAATGATGTGTATCTCTCTTTAATCATTTGTTTTGAAAACATTAAATTTAGTATCAGTCCTGATACATCAAATGAGTTCAATACGGCCCTGAATACAGGTACATTGCTAAGCTGAAACTATATCTTACCCAATCTGTAGTAACTAATAAATCATAACAGTTAAAGATACAAGGTAGAATAACTCGAGATGGTAATGATGTAGCTAACAGATGTCTGAAATACAAATATAACCTAATCAGTAATAGGTATTACTTCATTGCATATTAGCATCACAATTATTGTAAACATAACTTTAACTCTGTGCCAGTGCCTTATATTGAATAGTAACTTGTTACTCTTCAATCACCCTAATCTCCATACATAGACACACTATAAGTAAGTTTACAATAGAAAGAGTTTTGTGGCAATATTTCCTAATTTCCATAATAAGACTGGCTGCTTGAGTAATCCTTATTTGACAAGAGAGATATTTGCTTTTATCTTGTAGCTTTCTTTTGGACTCTTTTTAAATAATCCCTTTTACATAAGAATGTAAATTTATAATCAGTATCAAAATGTAATTAAGTGATATTTCTATGTTAATACAGTATAGTAATAAATATACTGCATTACATTACTTATTTGATAATACATGTATTTACCTGACTAGCTGTAATCTAATCTTTAATTGTGGTCTTTGTGGATTATCACCATCAGCAAAATACGATATACGACAAACCTGGAAATGTAGCACATTTTTATACATTTATTTCTGCTTTCTGTAATCAGAAATCCCCAATCAGAATAGGGTTTACTGTACAAGAATCTCAAAAATCCTCAATACTAGTTGTTATGAGTCTTTTTCTTTTTAACTGTCCCTTCACATACAAAGGCTGAAAAATCTTTGTCATGCATCTAAGGCATCAATAAAGAAAGTATAAGATATTACCTGATGAAGTATATCTAGTAAATATGGTGATAAAAACTGGGGTAAATTCTGAACAACACATAATAAAGCTGTAGCAAAACTTAATGTTAACAACTCATTACTGAAAATATCAAAATATAGGTAAATGATATAAATAAACAATATCCCTATAAAAGTTTTGAAAATGCCCAATAAAAATTATGATACAAACAGTCTTTACTTGAAGTCTGATAGATCCTTGCAAAAACAGACATTTGAGCTGGTCTGACTATCATATCTGGAAAATTCAGGTATATCAACACCCCTGATTCAGACCTTAGTGTACTTATCAATGTTTTGAATGAATCTAAATGTGGTTTGAATAAAAAGAAATATATATCTTACTCTAATAATGAATCATCTTGGGCTACCATTTCTATAACTTGTGGTATAAACAATGGAAGATATTGTATAACATGTACTTTAAGACATGTACACAGTTCTGCTATACATAATAATACTGTAGCACATATAGCTGGATTTTCTCTTCTTTTCTTTAATACTTCACTTGACAATTTTAATACCTATACAAAATATATATCAAATGACGTGTGAAATTTGAATAAGGCATTCGATCAACAAATTTTCCAAGAGGGTTTTGGCATCTCTATAGGTAAAATACAACACCATGCAGTGTGCAATGAATGAAATTTTGTCAGAACGGCGGCATTACACTACTACAAAGAGACACAAACACTAACAGATTTTGAAGAAGTGCGTTTCTCTTTGAATAATGGCATTGATCTTTTTCTGAGTATACTAACCTCAACAAATGGTTTAGGATTTTTACTAGCTAACATTCTACACAATAGTTTTAAACTATATAAAGCTGTTTGACCATTCAATGTTTTTTCTTCCTCGCTCTCCACCAATAAAGTTAGTTTTGCTATGATGTTTAATTTCTCTACCAGTGGTAATAACATCTCAGACTGGAAAAAAAGATAAATAATGGTATAGTTTTTTGGTTTAGGTTTTTGATTTATCTATTTTATTTACAAATGTGTTTTCTTCAATGTTTTGATTCCAATTATGACAGTTGAGTAATTTAGTATTTACCTGAGTGCTGGATTGGCTTTCCTTTATTTGATGTAATTTAGTATTTACCTGAGTGCTGGATTGGCTTTCCTTTATTTGATGTAATTTAGTATTTACCTGAGTGCTGGATTGGCTTTCCTTTATTTGATGTAATTTAGTATTTACCTGAGTGCTGGACTGGCTTTTCTTTATTTGATGTAATTTAGTATTTACCTGAGTGCTGGATTGGCTTTCCTTTATTTGATGTAATTTAGTATTTACCTGAGTGCTGGATTGGCTTCCCTTTATTTGATATAATTTAGTATTTACCTGAGTGCTGGATTGGCTTTCCTTTATTTGATGTAATTTAGTATTTACCTGAGTGCTGGATTGGCTTTCCTTTATTTGATATAATTTAGTATTTACCTGAGTGCTGGATTGGCTTTCCTTTATTTGATGTAATTTAGTATTTACCTGAGTGCTGGATTGGCTTTCCTTTATTTGATATAATTTAGTATTTACCTGAGTGCTGGATTGGCTTTTCTTTATTTGATGTAATTTAGTATTTACCTGAGTGCTGAATTGGCTTTTCTTTATTTGATGTAATTTAGTATTTACCTGAGTGCTGAATTGGCTTTTCTTTGTTTGATGTAATTAAGTATTTACCTGAGTGCTGGATTGGCTTTCCTTTATTTGATGTAATTTAGTATTTAACAACTCCATAGATTTCCTTTGAACTGGTACTAAATCATGGTCCATTAAGCCTGACACAACTTGTACAAACATAACATCAGGAAGTAGAGACACAACCTAAAATTACATAATTAAGAAAATTCACAACATTGTTGCCAACTTATCTGGAACAATGATTAACCCTTTTAAAACATATTCAGTTTGATCAATTAGATACATAGATGTAAATAGCATACTCTCGAAATTTTGTCATGTATAATTCACAACATTTTTGAAAATTTTGTATACTGCCCTTTTAACAGAAAAGATGGTAAAAATCTAGCCTACCTTATCTAATAAATCATATACTTTATGTAGTAAAACTTTATGAAATTTGCTATCTGATTTCTGTTGACATAACTCTGAGTTTCTGGCTGCTTGTGATAAATATTGAAGAACTTTCTCCAAATATTTCTGAAAATTAGGTAGCAACTCTTCTTCTTGATGATTAGCCATCTACAAGATATGAATAAAAATTGATGTCTAATCTTGTTTTCCCACATTTTACTAGGCTAATAGTTTAGTCTCTTTATTCCAATTGTAAAGCCTGAAACACTTTGGACTTAGATGAAAAGTGTCATTCCAACACCTAATCATTTTTCAAATAAAATCCCCCTCGACTTGAATCACTAACAGATGTTCCCTTTTTTCTCTTCCAAACGAGATGGTGTTTATCTGTATCACACGAATCCCCACTCAGCTTAAATCCTTGAATCATGGTAGATAGAAGTTAACTAACCTGAGCTAAGAATGATTCACATTGTAAGTGTTGACAGAGTAAATAAAAGGTAGCATATTTAAAATGCCGGAGTTGTTTAGCTGTATGTGTAGCCAGATTAAATATTTTAGCTTCATCAGTAATAATATTAACATCAGTTGTATATTTAGCTTTATTTATAGATGGTTGTAAAGGTACTGAAAATCAACAACATTTAATTAATAACTAACAGACAATTTTATACCTTAGCTTTGTGTATCTCTTATCAGATGTAGAATCCTGTATATGTTCAGTATTTTCTTTGCAATTCAACAAAGATCAAAAATGGAATTTCTGTCCAGAAATACCAACATCTCTATAGCTGCAGCAGGCTGGTCCAAAAGGACTGATAGACTAATCAAATAAATCAAATAATCAAATAAACCGACAGCAAGGCATTGAATTGTTTCCTTCATTGAAATGTATCCTTCATTGAAATGTATCCTTCATAGAAATGTATCCTTCATAGAAATGTATCCTTCATTGAAATGTATTCTTCATAGAAATGTATCTTTCATAGGAATGTATCTTTCATTGAAATGTATCCTTCATTGAAATGTATCTTTCAATGGAATGTATCCTTCATGGAAATGTATCCCTTCATTGAAATGTATCCTTCATTGAAATGTATCCTTCATAGAAATGTATCCTTCATTGAAATGTATCCTTCATTGAAATGTATCCTTCATTGAAATGTATGTATCCTTCATTGAAATGTCTCATTCATGATAGATTTTTAACAATATACTTACCATCATCTTTCTCAACAGGTAAAGAAGCTATAAAACTAATCATAGTTTTAACTGATGATATTTGTGTAACAAGAGGGAAGGATGTAGCTAATTTTAATATAAAGTCTAAATCTGTAGTTGAAATGGGACCAGCTTGCTGTAAAATAACAAAACAAATTGAGGCATGCCGCCAATGTTCTACAAAGATGTGTCCAAATTCAACCTGCAATCTATATTTCAATCAATCACGCTTGCATTCACTCTAGTAACAAACATTTTCTAGGGTTCTCTACTTCTCTGCAGCTCTGTTGTCATGGGTTCCTTATGTCATCCACATCTTCAAAATGGTTCCCCTTGATGACCTCCTTCAGCATGGGGAAGAGGGAAAATCACACAGAGCTTTAAAAAAGGAAACTGAAGCTCGAACTCTGGTCATAATTACCTTAGAATCCTCATCATCATCTTCTATTGATGTTTGACGACCCTTGGTGGCCACTTGTTCTATAAATAATAACAGACAATGCCAGAGATATTTATCAGGACCAACAATCTGTATCAGTTTAGAGAATAACATCAGTTTCCTGTGTTCTGGGATATGAGGATAAGCATCAACAAATATACGTAAGATCATTCCTATAATCATTTCTGGTTTCTTTTCATCTTCTTTCTTTCCTGATTTTGGTGATTTGGTAGTTTCTTCACATGCCTGTAAGGGTAACATAAAAGCATGAAAAGTGAAGCTAAGCCCACCTGACATGAAGCTTGTCTCCATTAAAGTTAGCATGTTCTGCGAGTATACAAGATCCATCAATTTGCTTCTAAAGATGTCTACACCTTCTTAATTCAGTCACAAGATTACAAACTAGCTTCTATTTGTATCAATAAATTGATGGACACTGGATTATTCTGTCATTGGAACTATGGGTATGATAAATTTTGCTGCCATGGAGCCTAAATGGATTTGTGCCTGTCATATTGTTTGGTCACAAATAACATTAGTTTCATATAGCAACACTATTAAATGTTTTTGAATTTCTTTTTGAGACCCCATCACATATATTTTCCCACTATGAAGAGTTAACTTACTGAAGTGATAACAGGTATAACTGTTTCTAATATTTGAGATATTATATGAAAACTATAGGTATTATCTTGACGTAGAGTGTTGGCACCCATAAAGGTAAATACAGACATCACATTGTGCAGTAACTGACCCTGAAATCAAATTCAAAAAAACATTTCACATATCTTATGGTATTTTATTGAACAGAAACAGGAAGGAGTGTATCTAAAAAAAAAACCCCAAAAAACCAAAAAAAAAAACAAGAAGCCTACATGTTTGGACTAATTATGTCAAGGGCAATAACTCCAGGTATCTTCATCAATAGGCATACGGAATTTTCATTAAAAGGATTGTAAAACTAATTCCAAAATATGCTTTATCACATAAGGCCTCTTCCAATCAGTAATTTCAAGTAAACTTGAAATCCTATTTTTTTTCTTTTCTCATGTTAATTATCGTGAAGGGAAAATAGACTTTTATTTGCTCTGATGATATTTCTTTTAGGTTTTTTTTTTTTTTTTTTTTGAGTAAATGCATTTATAATTCAATTATCAAATAAGGCTGAATCTGCTTTAATTCTACACAAAAAAATAAAGGTGATTACACAATAAATAGAGATTATTACGAAAGAGCTAAATTTAGCTCTCATTGACCTACTTTCAATGTGTTGTGCAAGAGTAATTTTTGTTTATCATAACAGTAATACAAGTTAAGTGATTAGTCGTCTAGGTAACCATAAAGGTATAAATACTAGAGTCTAATTTGAGTTTATCATTGTTACAATCCAATTTGTAGGGAGGTCCTCTCTCTACAGCTGTGGCAATCATGTCGCTTACTTCGTTTACCGTTCTTACAGCAGCCTACAAGTGACCCAGGTTTAGTTTTGAGATCACTTTCCAGTGGTTTCAAAACATAAAATGCTGAAGTAACACAAGATACACTCAGGTCTCTGGGGGTAAACTTCTCTAAGCGGCCACGCAATCACACTGTAAAAAGGTGTGCTAGTGGTTGAGAGTGACCCTCATGGACCCCAATTGGTACAGGTTGTTGGAATCGAGTTATTATTTTACCTCATTGCACACCTGTACTTGATGGGGTTTATTTTCTACAGGAAGCTTATATAGCAAAAGATTAATTAATGAAGACAGTGAACTGGAAATGATAGAAAGGTTTTAGGGTTTATTTCATATTTTTCATTGATGATGAGGCTACCATTGTGAGAAGGATGAGAATTTGGCTCAAATCAGGATTTATCTCAAGAAATCTGTAATTGTGTGGATAAATAAGTAAGTAATATTTCTTTAAAAATAACTGAAACACGGGACAAATAAACAGAATTTGGGATTTATCTCAAGAAATCTGTGAAATTCTAATAATAGTTGATTTCATTAAGTAATGATAATATACCATTGGGTCTATATATTATTTTGTATTCATATATTAATGATTAATAGTTTTATAAGCTTTCTCAATAAAATACTTTAGCTGCTACAGTAAAACTAAATGGAATATGATAAACTTTCAAGTTGTATTTTAGTTGTCATTGTAAGCACTAATTAAGTATGATAAACTCACATGTTGTATTTTAGCTGTTAAAGAGCAAATAAAGTATGATAAACTTTCAAGTTGTATTTTAGCTGTTATTGTAAGAACTAATTAAGTATGATAAACTTACAGACTGTATTTTAGCTGTTACAGTTAGAACTAATTACTATAAACTTACAGACTGTATTTTAGCTGTTACAGTTAGAACTAATTACTATAAACTTACAGGTTGCATTAAAAAAATTGTTAAAGTGATAACTAATTAATTACTATAAACTTACAGGTTGTATTTTAGCTGTTACAGTTAGAACTAATTACTATAAACTTACAGACTGTATTTTAGCTGTTACAGTTAGAACTAATTACTATAAACTTACAGGTTGTATTTTAGCTGTTACAGTTAGAACTAATTACTATAAACTTACAGACTGTATTTTAACTGTTACAGTTAGAACTAATTACTATAAACTTACAGGTTGTATTTTAGCTGTTACAGTTAGAACTAATTACTATAAACTTACAGACTGTATTTTAGCTGTTACAGTTAGAACTAATTACTATAAACTTACAGGTTGTATTTTAGCTGTTACAGTTAGAACTAATTACTATAAACTTACAGACTGTATTTTAGCTGTTACAGTTAGAACTAATTACTATAAACTTACAGGTTGCATTAAAAAAATTGTTAAAGTGATAACTAATTAATTACTATAAACTTACAGGTTGTATTTTAGCAGCTACTGTAAGAACCAGTAAAGCTTGATGATGTGTTTGAGGATTATCAGATGTCCTTATACACTGTACTATCATCTCTAAATTAAACTGTTCAGCCTTTAATCCTATAAAAAAAAAAAAATATAAACTCTATCCATCAATTTCATAACAAGAGAGTCGGAATGGAAAAAAATATAATATCCTGCAAATCAGATACTGACAACAGATTTTAAAATGCATGTTAAGAATCATTGTTCTTGTAAGTTGGAATATACAAATTTACACTTACCTGATGATTTTATTTCTTCTAAATGTCTTGAACATATAAAATATAGTGTAGATAAAACTAGCTGTTTAATATATTCACCATTAATATGATCATCACTTTCTAAAATTCTATAAATATAAAATATAGTGTAGATAAAACTAGCTGTTTAATATATTCACCATTAATATGATCATCACTCTCTAAAATTCTATAAATATAAAATATAGTGTAGATAAAACTAGCTGTTTAATATATTCACCATTAATATGATCATCACTCTCTAAAATTCTATAAATATAAAATATAGTGTAGATAAAACTAGCTGTTTAATATATTCACCATTAATATGATCATCACTCTCTAAAATTCTATAAATATAAAATATAGTGTAGATAAAACTAGCTGTTTAATATATTCACCATTAATATGATCATCACTCTCTAAAATTCTATAAATATAAAATATAGTGTAGATAAAACTAGCTGTTTAATATATTCACCATTAATATGATCATCACTCTCTAGAATTCTATAAATATAAAATATAGTGTAGATAAAACAATGGCAAATTACCTTGTTAATAACTGTATTGCTAAAGGCACCAGTTTTGGTGCATTTTCAATTTTCTTCTTCTCCTGTATAGCTTCTAATAATATCAATACACGCTTCCAATTATCACTTTCAAATACTGATACTTTTTCTTCATCTTTAATTTGTCTACAATAAAAAAACAGAAAAATTGAACATGGATGCATCATTGACAGTTGGTGATCTTCGAATGATAAATCTATAGCGGATCTTCAAATGGTGGGTTCTGCATGTTCAGGATTTATGGAATCAACTGGACATTCAATAAAACAAGTTGGAACAGAGTTCAGAACACTCTCAACATGCACTGAAAAAATAGGTGCAAACAGAATTCAAAATGGCGGAGAAAGACAGATAGGAAATGTGAACGTGACATATCCTTTTTTATACCGTTTGATTGAAGGCAGACTGTTCAGAACTCTCTAATCGAGTGCCACCCAAGTATCTTGAACTAAACCCTAAATCTTCAAATCAATGAGAAAAGCTAGCAAGGACACATTCTGATGTTTAGTACTACTGTAATATTCCAAATATAGTATTGGTCAGCTGGAAACATAGATTAGTGGTACAAGTTGTGCTAATCCAATTGACATATTGGAAATAAACGTATATTGAATATGTAAATAGAATACCAACCTTTTAACCTTCTTGGCTTGTCTAACACTTTTAATATTAGTTGTTTGTAAAACAGGAGATAACTCATTTATTATATTCTCAGCTTGTAATGTTATCTATACAAAACAAGATTTCATTAGTCGTGGAAACAAGCAAGATTTGTATCTTATAAATATGCCTTTTATCCAGCAAGAAAATTTGAACCAGTCATGACAACTCTCTTGGGGAGTGAACAGTTTGGGTGCAGATTTGAGACTGGAGTCCTTAACAAGACTATTGATATTGAAGAAAATTGAAGTCTAAATACAAGGATAAATAGATAAGAAAAATGTTAACGTACATGTTTCAAGACTTTTTTCACCATATTAGCTACAATGATATCTGTTAATTTAGCCCAGGCTGTGATTAGAGAGTTCAATATTAGTTGTTTGGATTCTAGAGTTGGTAAATTATCATAAAATTCTCTTGTTATCTACAGAATAAAACATTTAACGGCATGTTACAAAATAGATCCTGAACAGAAGCGTACACTTAGCACCATCTTGATTCACGAAGGTTATACTTGAGTGAACATCCAGCCCTTTATATAAGAACACAATAACTGTCTGGTTCAGACTTTATTTACCAGACATATCAAATGCATTGGATCAAAGTACCGGTATTTACCTATACTCAATTACAGATCACTAAGTGGGTAAAATGACTATGTAGCACATTACATGGTATCAGTCTTAAAGTAAAATACTACTCATTGTCTGTATCAATGGCTAAATGTTGACTGACTTGTACTGGTACAGATTTTATGACTTAGGTCAGGATTTCTCAAGTAAGTTAGCTTAAGCTCTATGTTTCATTTTAGTAATTGCTAAAGTATCTCAGACTTCACATGTGTAGCTAGCAAAGCGCTTATTTATCATTTTTGTGTGGAGGCTAGGGCTAGGGAAAGAAAAATTTACCTGTTTGATAGCCAATTCTTGAATTGCTGGTCTAGAATGGTGTGGTTTTCTAGATAGTTCCATAGCTTGACAAAATATCAGTAATTCTGGAGATTTGTCTGATAAACTAGAGGATACTGTCTCTGTATATTTATTTAATAATAATCTTAAACAATCAGATTCAACTAAAGTCAGGCTGGTCTGTGATAGATATCTCTCTAATAATGGTCTAGTTATATAGAAACATTCCTACAATAAATATATCAATGATATCTTAATGAGGAAATGGTAGTCACCCTAAATTGACCATTATCCAAAAAAATTATCATTAAAATTCATATTTTGACTCTCACACATTAAATATTACAAATGTGTGAACAATTTAAAAAAAAAAAACCATTTTCAAACCATTTTGGACGTTCACAATGTCAAGATATTACCAACGTCCTAATAAACTGACTGCATTAGCCACGTTTCTTGTATCAATGAATGCAGCAATTTGATTGAAAAATATACACCAGCTAATATAGCCAATCAGAGCCCTCAACAAAAGGCTGCAAACAGGCTTCGTGTTCACAGACATTATATTAAGGCCTCTGATTGGTTGTATTTGTTAGTGTATAATCCAATCAAATCGCTTAATCTACAAACTTCCATGATACAAAAAAGGTGGTTATTGCAGTCAAGGTATAAGTATGAAGTTTGTAACAGCTTGAAATTGTGAAGATGAGCATTTTGAAGCATACAAACACAACTGACCCACATATAAACATGTAAAATAAAATCTTACCAAGTTATCAACCAAGGAAGTGATGTCTAAGATTGATTTAGTAATATAAGCTGGTATTGTGTCATGTATACACATATTGAGAACAATAGTTAAAAAATCTTTATCTGTTCCTTCACTATTAATTCTTCGTCTTTTCTTAGCAGATCCCATATTTTGATCATTTTTTATAGATACACCTTTAATACACTGAAATCATATTGAAATCTAAAACGTGCATACATACGAATCTCATGTTTTTTACATTTCACTAGAATACTTTCAGCTCTTTGGAAACGTCAGGTTATGCTTGTTATTTAAAGGGACATGATATCTGTTTGACATATTGTATTTTAGTCTCAGAAACTGGAATTTTTTAGCTAAGATAATCAGTGTTCACAGCTCACCATCGAAATTTGAGCCTTTAAATCCATGTATGGCCAGAATTATCCGTGTTTGAAAGTTTAAGACAACTCGTCTTTTCTTCAGTCTCATATGCAGAAAAAACATATATAGAAATTAGTGAAATTTCTAGTTTGAGGTATATTTGAAGGGATAACACTATTTCGAGCAGTTTCAGTATGTCTGAATACTTTTTACATATTTAAACCCAAAATGGCGAACTACGGCCTTTAAGCTAAGTTTTACCTGTTAGGTTTGAGAAATGTATCACCTTAATGGTAAACTAATGTCTATAATGTAGAAATATAATTCAAAGAAGCCTCAAAGAACTTGTTCATGATTTAAATACTTCAATGACTATCTCTCTAGTCAATTCTATAAAGCTTGTCTTACCTGTGATAGATATGTTGGGTCGTTCACTATTTCCTCTTCAGTATTTAGTAATGTTCTAATAAACTGTCGTATTTTACTAGCCGTATCAGGTAGTATATGTACTAATATATTTAAACAATTAACACTAACTTCTCGTAATGGTGCATGTTTACTAGTACATACTATTAATAAGTTCACTATCACTGAAGAAAAAAAAAAAAATTCATACTTTGGTTTATCTTCACAATGTCAAGCTGTCTTATACCTTGACTGCAATAGACACCTGTCTTTGTGCACAGCAGTTTGTAAATTTGGTTAGACTGCACGTTAGCGAATACAGCAAAGGAAGTCTGTGAATAAGTCATAATGTTTACAGTGTTCCTATCAAGGGCTCTGATTGGCTGGCATACAAACCAATCAATTCGCTGCATTCTATTATTATACAAGAAAGTCAAGGTATAAGACAGAGTTCTGAATTGCTTGACATTGTGAAGATGATGATAGTCCAGAATATACTATTATATCAGACTCTGCCTAAACATTTACATAGAGTCTATAACACCATTTTCAATTATTATAGAATCTTAAAGACTATGTTACTATTCCATGGTATCCAATCAAGACAATCTGATTAACTGAGCTAATTTATAAAATTTGGTTACTGCTACCAATGAAATGATCTTTCGTTCTGGTGCAAAACTGATACCAATATATTATACTCATATGAAAAATGCCTTTACTTTCATATCTGATTTTGAAAATCACTTTGGAAAAACAAGGGAATATTTCATAAGCTCTGTATGTTCAAGACCAAAAAAATCAAATACCAACCTGGTAGAGGTGACTGTAATGTTTCCAATGATTTAATATAAATCTGACCTAGTTGTAAACATCTAGCTTGTAATGTCACATTTAAACCTAATTCATTATTATAATCATTTACATGTTGAGTCCAGATTAATCCAAATAACTTAAACCTTAATACCTGATCTTCAAATCTAGTCTGAAAAATTCAAATTCAACATAATGTCTTCTGAACATTTTGAAGCTCATATAGAAACTTTCATGTTGAATTCAGTTTGTTAAATACTTGAGTCTTGTCTCAAAGATCTTGATGGATTCTTTCCACTTAACATGACTGTCTGTTATCTCCAAACTGAATGATCAAGGATAGCTAACAGACTCATTAAGAGAATATCTTATTGATGTTACTAGCTTGTGAGTTTATGGATGGTGATTTTGTGTGGGTTTTCTCATTGCGATATATAATTGATCATAATCTTGTAGAAACCTGCCGATTCATAGTGATGTTCCAATCAATGGATAGCCTAACAAAATAAGTGACTGCATTCACAACTGCACTGGACGCCTAGGTACTTCTTGATTGCATTTGGACTCCTTTTATGTCCACCTCAGTCCAATTGTAAGCTTTGAGTTAGAGACAGCAACCTCATTGTATGAAATTTCTCCTTACATGAATGAATGATCACTTATTCAAGCTTGCATGAACATGAGCATGAAGTGGCATAGATTTTCATCTTAACATTGATATAAATTCCTGTAAAAACTTGTGTTTTTACTTGACCTACCTGTATCAAGGTCATGACTAGTTTCTGTGCCTGAATATTAATATGAGAACTAGCTGATAGTTGGAGTAGTAAATCTAATAACTTAATAACTAGTTTAAACCAACTGTTTTCATTTACTGTACTCGTATCATACTGCCAGAATACACTTTCTGAAAATACAACTACAACTTGTTACTATGTTATCATTAGAATTTATCAAATGAGTACCAATACGTTACTTGCTGAGTATAGGAGAGATTTTGCCGTAACTTGTTACTGTATCATTAAAGAATTTATCAAATGAGTACCAATACGTTACTTGCTGAGTATAGGAGAGATTTTGACATAACTTGTTACTGTATCATAAGAATTTATCAAATGAGTGCTATTTCGTTACTTGTCGAGTATAGGAGAGATTTTGTCATAACTTGTTACTATATCATTATAGAATTTATCAAATGAGTACCATTTCGTTACTTGTTGAGTATATGAGAGATTTTGCCATTTGT